AAGGAAAAAAATTGAATTGCCTTTATTGAAGACTGACAGCATTGGAATTTTCTTCCATTTCATGTTTACCAGAATTACATTATGACATGTTTCTGGGAGAGACTACCTGTATTGCCTTTCTCTTGCTTCTGGTTGAAGAGGGAGACAGCTGGAGTGTGTAAAGGCATGTCCCTCACTTTCAGTCTGGAGAATGGAGCTGTGCAAGTTGCAGGAGACCTTGCTGAAATGATGAGAAAAGAGTTGGAGCAAAGCCTTGTCTCTGTTGAAATCAATTAACTCCCATTAGTTTGAGTCCAGCTTCCATCCATAAACTTAAGTAGGATATTTCTCTTTCTAGTCAGTCTACTGAAATGTTTCTGTCCATTTGCATTTGTTTTCATGTTTGTTTGTAATGATTGCATAATTGGGATGTATCTGTAATGTCAGAAATGTAATAGGTTAAGTAGCATAAATGACTGTTAGGAAGCGAAGAAACACAGAACTGCAGAACCATTGTTGTTTTAAAACTCCTGCTGCTTTTAGTTGTTTGATTTAACCGTTTAGTAATCAGAGCTGTGATAAATGGCATTGATGGGTGTTTACACACCACTCCTGAACAAAAAGGAGAAGCAGCACCTTTTCTTCCTGTCATTGAAAGAAATGGAAAACATTCAGTAGGCTGCCAGTTGGCCAGAGACTAACTTTGGTGCCTGCCCCTAAAGACTTAATGATGTTGTATACAGTGCTGATAAACTCTGATAGGTTTTAGTCTGACAAGAAATGTCTACTGTTACCGTTCTGTTAAAGCTGATAGCAAATGCTCAGTGTACACAGCAGCAAGCACTTGAATTTAAGCCTGTTCAAGTACTAACAAAATATTTGGTATCTCAGGTACTGGTTTATTACAGATTATGCTTTTATCAATGTACCTATCTGGGTTTTTTCTGTTACCTGAAGGTAGAATAACAATGCTATTTAAACATTTGCATTTTCTCCCTCCAGATCAGTGATGTTTTTGAAAGGAATGTTTTCATCTTTTTTTCTTTTTCTTTTTTTTTTTTTGGTTTGAGGGGGGAGGGGAATGGGTGTTTGAAAACAATGCAGATTTTTAAAATGTGATTCTCATTGTGTCTGAACTTTCCAGTCCTTTTGTGACTTGACTGGTATTTTAACACAATATTCCATTACAATTTTTCTCAGATGTTTCTGTGTAACTGTGATGATAACTCTGTAATCTACCTGACAGCAGTTTGTCCCAACTCCCAAACTGGAGTTGAGCTAGGAATAATAGAGCTGCTGGAGGGAAAATTTCTATGAGCATTTTCTTTTTTTTTTTTTTTTTAAATTCTGAGAGAGGAGAAGAGAGATGTTTGTGCTAATGCCTCAGATAGAAACCCTCTCAACTGCTTTCCAGTATCCTGAAAACTGTGGCAGGTAACCACCAGGTAGAAGGATGCAGTAAGTGGAATTTGGCACATGCCCAAGAAATGGCTTTTTCTCTGGTGACTACAACACTAACTTTGGCTGCTGGCACAGTCAGTAGCACCTGCCACCATGGTGATTTTCTCTGGTGACAACAACACTAACTTTGGCTGCTGGTACAGTCAGTAGCACCTGCCACCATGGTGCTCCTGCCTGTGGGAAGAGTAGGAATCAGGGGCCTGGTTGGCAACTTGATTCATTTTTGTAACGAAATCATGCTGTTTTCTGCCTTAAGAATAAGTCTCCGTTTTTGTAATGAAATCATGCTGTTTTCTGCCTTAAGAATAAGTCTCTTACTCCTGAAATTATTATGGCCTTTTAACTGTCTCCTGGAAACATTTATTCTCCTCCACTGTTTTGTAACACTATTATCTTTTGTCCTTTGACTAATACTTGTCACTTCAAAGTTTAAAAAGAAGGGCCAAAACTAAGGAGCTTGATGTCAATTACGGCTCTGTTAATAGGTGAAATGGGGCATACCTCCTGTACAAAAGGTGTGTCCATAGATCCAGTAGTGCCCTGTTTTATGAGAAGGTCCGGAGCGCGTCGACTGAGCTTTCTTGACTTAGCAGGCATAAGAGGGGATGCATATTCCCTCTCTTCCTCTAAACGTTGATGGCCTTTCAGTGTGAAATACCACACAGTGTTTATTTTTATGCCCTCTTAATGTTTAGTGGAGGGTTTGTTTAGTTTCCCTTCATAATTTTTAATAGGAAGTCTTTGAAGTTGGGTTGTGGCTGAAAAATCCTGTTGGCAGCCTGACCAGTCATTGTTGACTCCTATCTTCTTTAATTGTTCGTCTATAAATATCTGGAAGGGAGTGTGTTCAGAGAAACTATGCAGCAATGTATATTTCTGGAAAGGGGAAATAAACTCGCAATTATTCTCAGCCCTTATTTATCACGTGAAAATGTTACATGCTAATGGTTGCAGATGGTTTACACAAAAACTGTACACACTGAAAGCCTTCTTCATTGGGAGCTATGTCTGTCATACATTATGCTGGAGCGGAAAAAGGGTTTTTTCTGCCTGCAGCTATGTATTACCCTTATTTGCTGCTACTAGCACAAACCCTCCTTAATATGCATCTGGCAATGGTTAAAATTTTCTCCATCAGTGACTTCACATTTATCCATCTAGACTGAGGATTCTCCTCTAAGTTTAAAAAGGTAAGGGCATCAGTACGTCGGAGTCTTTTGGTGGACAGCATTATGTTTAGCAAATCAGATGTGAATGAGGCAGAGCTAAGGTTGTGGTCTAATATTTTTGTGTTCAGAATCAGATTTTATGTTAAAACATATTTATGACTGCGTAAGTATATTGTACCTCTGTGCATGTGTGTGACTGTAGACACAGTGATTGCTTCATATGGTACAGTGGAATAGTAAAACAATCCTGTAATGTGCCTATATATTTTGTTTTGTTCATCAAAAGCAGTACAGACATCTGTAAGGTGTTACCTTGAATTACAGTTTATACAGTCAAAATTAGAAAAGGCTGCATTCAGTTTAAGTTTGTCTGTTAAAATAATGCAAAACAAAGAAGGAAGGATGAGAGGGTAGAACAGAAGTTGGTGTTCAGCACTCCCAGTGTAAGTGATCAGAAGAGATTTCCATTGACTTGTTTTGGTCTTAGCATACATGCTGCAGACCCATCAGCCTCACGTCCATCCCTGGAAAGGTGATGAAACAGCTCATCTTGCATGTCACCTTCAAGGATATGAAGGAAAATATGGTTATCAGGAGTAGTCAGCATGGATTCACCAAGGGGAAATATTGCTTGACTAGCCTTCTATGATGGAACGTCTGGCTGTGGGTAGATGCGGGGAGAGCAGCGGATGTTGCCTTCCTTGACTTCAGCAAGGCTTTTGACACTGTATCTCATAGCGTCCTTATGGGTAAGCTCAGGATGTGTGGGTTACATGAGCAGACAGTGTGTTGGATTGAGAAGTGACTTAACAGCAGATCTCAGAATTGTGATTAGGGGTACAGAGTCTCATCAGAGGCCCATAGCTAGGGCTGTTCCCCAGGGATCACTGCTGGGTCCAGTCTTGTTCAACTTATTCATCAGTGACCGGGATGAAGGGACAGAACGTGGTCTCAGCAAGTTTGTTGATGATACAAAACTGGGAGGATTATCTGATATGCCAGAAGTCTGTGCTGCTGTTCAGCAAGACCTGGACAGGCTGGAGAGTTGGGTGGAGAGGACCTTAATGAACTTCAGTCAAGGCAAGTGTAGGGTCCTGCACTTGGGGAAGAATAACCCCATGCACCAGTACAGGCTGGGTGCTGACCTGCTGGAAAGCAGCTCTGCAGAGGACAACCTTGGGGTCCTGGTGGACAGCAGGCTGTCCCTGGGCCAGCAGTGTGCCCTTGTGGCCACAAAGGCCAGAGGTATTCTGGGAGGCGTTAGGAAGAGCACAGCCAGCTGGTCAAGGCAGGTCAACCTGCCCCTCTAACTCAGCCCTGGTGAGGGCTCTGGACTCTCCTGTTCAGGAAAGAAAAGGAACTACTGGAAAGGGTTCAGCGGAGGGCTATGATGATGATTAGGGGACTAGAGCATCTCTTATGAGGAGAGGCTGTTTAGCTCCAAGGCTGTTTAGCCTGGAGAAGAGAGGACAGGGAGTGGGATCTGATCAATGCATACAAATATGTTAAGGGCAGGTGTCAAGGGGATGGAACCAAACTCTCCTCAGTGGTCCCCCGTGACAGAACAAGGGGCAGTGAGCCCAAACTGAAACACAGGAAGTTCATCTGAATAGGATCCACCTTTGAGGGTGTCAGAGCACTGGAACAGGCTGCACAGAGAGGTTGTGAAGCTTCCTTCTCTGGAGATATCCACAGGTGGGCCTGCTTTAGCCAGGGGATTGGACAGATGGTCTACAGAGGTCCCTTCCAACCCCAGCCATTCTCTGATTCTGTCAGTCTGTGACTTGGCTTGATAGTCAACTGTCTGACTAAAATTAGTCATGAGTGCACAGTATGTGGCCAGCTGAAACTTCTTGAATGTTCATATACTTCAGGGGAAAAGACAGTTTTGAAGAATAAGCTTTTATTGGTTTGTCAAAATGATTTTATCGGAGCACTAGAGAAGAGGCAGGATAATGGGATGAGATGAAGTAGTCTAACTGCTCTGAAATAGCCCAGCTGCTACAATTTTGCATCTTATTAGGTATTTCAAACTAGAAGATTTTTACAGTTTCCTTTGAGGCAAGAGCAGTAACAGTTTATGCAGAGGGCCAGCACTTACCTTGTCTTTCTCTTGCTCTGCAGGTGCTAGGCACACTGAACTTATTGATCTGTCTAGGATTTGTGCTGTGGTCCATTTATTGAAGATGTGAAGCAACATCAAGTCTGAGCTTGGAATTACTGACAGACTGGAGGAAATCTTAGTCCTTGTGATGCACATGGACATGTTGAATTATAAGTAATTCTAGCTTCTTCTCCCCTCCCCTCCCTTCCCCTCACTCAGCTATCTCAGGGTTCATAAAGATTTCAATGGTTTGTGTGCCTGTAAGTTTGGAACAGAAGTGACCAAAAATGGGGGACCAGCAATTATATAAAACTAACCATACTGCCAACAACAACGAGAACTTGTACTACCAACAACACCAAATGAACTCCCTTTCATCTCTAAATCATAGCTATGGGACATCTGTTATGGATGCTTCCCAGGCATCCCCCCTCTCCCCACAGTTTCCCCAAGATTCGAGGGACAGTATAGCTTTGCCTGTAGGTTCAAAAAGTCTTGGTTCAATGGATACATCTAGACAAACCAGTTGGACACATTCTGGCTCAGGAAACCATGTCCCAGTGAGGAACAATTTGAATAATCAAAGCGCGATGTGGAGCCCCCTCGGGCAGGGGGAATCCCATGACGGATACCAATATCCTTACTCTCAACCCAGTGAAAATCGATCGCAAAAAATGACCAGTGGGGTCCTGCATAAATTGGACTCCTTTACACAAGTATTTGCCAACCAAAATTTGAGAATTCAAGTCAACAACATGGCTCAGGTTTTACACACCGAGTCTTCGATGGTGGATAACTCTGGTGACAGTGCGCTCCGGCAGCTGCTGTCCCAGAAACCAGTGGTTGAGCAACAGCCTGTAACTTCCACTGTACAAAGATATCAACCAGTGCCACAGCAAACACATCAGAATTTTGCAAGCACACAGCAAAAGCAACAAATGCAAGTCATGCAGCACCAACAGTTGTACTACGACTACCAGCAGCATTTATCACAAATGCAGATGCATTCTGCGTTTCCGCAGGGACAGACACACATTCCACAAATGCAGTCGCAGCAGCTCTTACCGCAACAGATGCAGCACTTGCAGCAGCCTCAGTACTACGCTCAGCCCCAGCAGGGACATCAGCGGCTCTCGATACAGGAGATGCAGCAGCAGCAGCCGCCGCCAGCTCGGCAGCCGCGACAGTGTCCAATGCCAATCGCTCAGTATTACCAAACCCAACCTGTCATGCAGCAGTTACAGCAGCAGCAGCAACAGATGCAATTGCCACTTCCTCCGTATCACAGGGAACCCGATCCAAAGACTATGCATGAACCACACCAGTACTCTCAGGATCCAAGTCATCCTGTGCAGCTTATCCAGTTGGGAGCGGTGCCTCAGTATTGCTTCCAAGATCCCCATGAACAGTACAGGCACTTGTACCCCCAGAGTTTACTGCAGGAGCAGCAGCAGCAGCAAGATCAGCAGAAGCAATACCCAAATGAGAGCAGAGTGCCATCTCTGAACTCCCACGTTGGCCTCACTCCACCAGAGACCGTGGAGGATCCTGCACGGCAGGAGATGAACTCTGTAGGTAATGCTGTCCCTCATCGAACTCTTTTGCCACCCTCGGGGGTTCATCTGAACAACAAAGGCTCTCAGCAAGGCTCTCCCAGCGCCACGTGGCCTCAGGTAGGTAATATTTTAGATCCATGCTCAGCCAAACTTGTTTGCAGAAAAGGAGCAAGTTGTGGACAAGTTAAATGGTTTTGGAGGAGTCAGGAGGTTAGGATGTGAGTGGTGGGTATCTCTGGGATATTTTGGGGAACTGCATTAACAGACTTCTGCCTACATCTCTGGGTTGGCTTCGGGCCAGGCTGGCAGCAGCACAGAAAAGCTGCTGTGGGGCTGCTGATTTCCTTGTGAGAGGCTTTGGGAAGTTCTGCCTCAGTTTCTTGGGGGGAGGGACCCAGTTACAACAAAGTGTTCGTGCTAATTTTTCGGCACCTGTGGGCTTAGGAGGGACCAGTTACAACAAAGTGTTTGTGCTAATTTTTCGGCACCTGTGGGCTTGATGGTTTAGAAGCAATTAATCAACTCCCTGTTTCCAAAAGGAGTGCTTCTAGTTCAGAGCAGAGGCTTTAAACAATAGGTGAGTAGAAGAAAACTTGCACTAGCCATACTCACAGGGGCACTGCTTTGATGTGCGGCTCTCAACTCAGATTCTTTTAATATTAGTAAAATCATATGCAAAATGCAAACATAATGCTGTGAGGACCTGCATTTATGCATTATAACTTCCTGAAAAATGATTTTCTCTTTTCCTTTCTCCTCTTTTGATTGCAGGTGCAACTGTCAGATGGCAGACTGCTGCCGCTGTCCCCAGAACAAAGGTGCTTCTAAAAGATTTTTTTTGTCTTTTAAATTTAAATGTGAGAAATACAAAGGAGTGCTGCAGTTTAGAAGGAAGATAATGCAGTCTGGGTACATAATAGTTGTTGCTCTTCTAGAAACATCTATATTTTTCTGTTTTGTGATTCTCAGTTTGTACCATTTCCAGCATCCCCCCTCAGCCGTAAAACCAAATAAATGCTTTGTCTTTCATTAAAAAGAAAAACAAACAACAGGGTGGGCGGGGAAGGGAACCAAAGAAAAACCAAAAGCAGGGGAGCATTTTGCTCTGTGTTGCATTTATAAGACAAGGGACGGTGTGTGGTTTGGATTTGTATTTTTGGCAGCAGAAACCTTCTGTTTTTTCTTAAGGTCTCACCTCTGAAGGGCTGAGGTGTCCTTCAACATGGTTGTCTACTATAAGCTAGCGGCATTGTGTTCACATACTTGTTAACTGCTGTCATGAGTGGGGAAATGTAGGTCCGTCATGATAGATCTCATGGGTTCTCAGACTTTTCTGTATTGAGGGCCACATTTTGATGAGCATGTCCTACTCAAAACTTTCTCTCCCCCCATCTTGGGAGCAGCTGATCTAGGTTATTTATCATGTATTCTACAGCAGTCCCCATGTGCTTGCTTGTGACTTCATAACCACCTAGCTGTAAAATTTTATTGACTTCCTTGACTAAAAAAGCTTCCTCTGCAACAAAGGAAACATGCCAAACTAATGGTTTTTCTTCTGTTCCATGCTTTATAAAAATTAAAACAAAAATAGTGGCCAGAACAGAGAACTTCCTGAGAGAGCTGATGCGAAGAACAAGCTAATGTGTTCAATATGCTTGAAGGAGTTTAAGAGTTTGCCTGCTCTAAATGGTCACATGAGGTCACACGGAGGAGTAAGAGCATCTCCCAACTTCAAACAGGTAGCAGTTCATTTTACTTTGGTATTTGGTTCTCTCCTTTTCATGTCGATGTTCGCTTGCTTTGCCATGCTTTGCTTTGCTGTCAAAACTTGTTCTTCTGAGCACTGTTTTGTTATGTCATACCCTGTGTAAGTAGAAATGCGCATAATTCTGCTAGTTTGTAGGCCAGAAGTCTTGTTTTAAAGTCAGAGGCAGTGGTGGAGGACAGGACAGTGTTTGTCCTTCTCTGTATCTCTGCACGTTACAGAAACACCCTCCAAAGTCATGTCAGGAGTGTCTGAATTTTTTTCCCTAATGTTTGTTTATTATATTAGAAATACCAGGAACATCAAGTCTTCCTTATTTTCATTTGGACTACTTGGATGACTAAGGGATGTTTATTGGAAGCCTTCCCAGGCTTTAATTGAAGGAGCAGAATTGTTGAATCTTTGACAGCTTTCTTCCAAAGTGTTTTAGTTCTATAGGTATCAACAAATACCAAACCAAAAATGTGTTCGAGTTGTTCTGCATAAAAATAACTGGCCCTGTCAGTCTTTCCCTGTCCTGATATTTAAAAAAAAATCCATCCTAATGAGGAATACCATAGGAAGACAAAGAGCTACCAGAATTACACAGCTTTTGTGTCTGTGTTTTTTGGTGGGCAATGGAGAATTCTGTGTTTGTAGTCACAAAAAAAAAAAGGATGTGTTTATCTCCCCCCCTGCAAGTTATCTTGTAAAGATGCTTCAGGTGATTATTTGTCACCAAGGCTGAATCCTGTGTAGAAGCCAGAAGCAAACTGCCAGCTTCATTCAAGCCAAATAAAGAGTCCCAAGAAAGAACACTGTTGTGTGTTTTGTATCCCTGGCCACTTCATTTCAGCCACGGTGCATACATTGTGTAGTGTACGATCCAGAAGCAGCACTCCCTCACTCGGGCTGAAAGCCTTTAATTGTCTGTACAGGATGAAGGAGAGAAACCACCACAGCAGCTGCTGCCTAAAGAGGTGGATAGCCTCGCGCCCATCGTCATGCCAGTGTCTGTCCCTGTAAAGCTTCTGTCACCTGAGCCCAGCACGCAGCCCTCTGCCAGCACTGCCACAGTCAAAGACAAGCCTGCCAGCTCTGTGTCAGATGATGAGATGCCTGTTCTCGTGAAGATGACTTACTCTCCACCATGCAGTCCAAAAGTGGCCAACCCCTGCTCATCCTCTGTGAGTGCTGTGTTTCTTGCCACTAACTGTCCTGTGCTTGTTAAATCCCTTTGCTTATAGTGCTGCTACTTCCTGAAACATCTGTACCTTAGAATATTTTCTGGAATCTTTATGTTTCCTCATAAACCAAAAAAAAAGGGCTGTATCGTCACAGCATTTCTTCCTCAGTCATTTGGAAATATTAATTTTCCCTTTGCTGAGGAATCAAGATCTCAGTTGAAAATAAACCATTTGAAATTGGAATGTGATATTCTTTTATCCCACTAGAACAAAGGGATTTACTGTCTTTTTTACTGGTTTTGTTTTTTCCTTTTCAGGCTGCTACATTTGTATGTTATTGCTTAAATTCAGCAGTTTTATTTCTTCCTGTTTTCTATAGTCAGATATATGTACTCCTCATTTCAGCCGAAGATAGTATGTGCTCTGGTCCAATATGAAGCTTGCTGATTCGGAGTTTTGCAGTGAGGACATTTTCCCCCTGCTCTCTGCATGCATCAACTTAAGGGTTAATCGCTGGGAGTTCTGATACAGGAAACATAGCAATGCGTAGTGCTTTCGTTTGGCTTATAAAACTGAAATTGTCACGCAGCACAAGGAATTATGAGCACTTGAAGGAGATATTAGAATGCTCTTTATTGTTTTCCTGGAAGAGTCCTGGAGCAAGCAGCGTTTATTTCATATTCCAGTGTAGGAATAGATTTTGCTCATTCCTTCAAATCTGTTTTGGCAGACTACACCATGATAAGGGATTACTGAGGAGTACAAGCACTGTCTGGTATTTTCTGTACAATGCAGAGAAATAGTCTTGTGATACTTTTTCTTTTCCTTCCGCATGTGAGGCTGATGGCCAAATGAGGGGACAGCATACACTCTCATGGGTGACTCCTTATAATATTCATGTATTTATCACCCCCATCCTGACCTTTCAGTCAGATGAACACAGTAATTTTAAATATACGTAAAATCTTTTCCCTCTTCCTTTCAGACAGAGGTTTCACATATAAACTTCCACTTTACTGTGGAAGCCAGCATTTCACAATACTTAGTAACTCAGCAGTACAATTTTTCTATTTCTATTTCTAGTTCCTCTAAAGAATAGGGACAGTATTTTCTGAATCCTTGAGCTCTGAGTGGGAGATCTTCTCTAGAGACATCAGAGTAGGTGGCTTGGGCTTGTGTATTTCTGCAACGTATGTAAAGTGACTGTGATTAAATCTGCCAGTGTTTGGCTAAATGCGCATTCATTCCCTCAAAATTATGCTTGCAGTCTTTGTTATTGCCCAAGCAAACTAAACTCATGCAGTTCCCTCTCTGGACCCTATCTTTTATATAAGCAGTAGCATTGGAAACATTGAAAGATCAAAAGATCTACAGTTCCCTCTTCTTCTGTAAAGAGACTGTGCCATTGGAGACTTTTTTTTTTTAAATACCAAAGAACTGAAGCTGTGTTGCATTTATTTATACCATGCTTTGAGCTGTCCAGAAAAGCTCCCACAAAGCTCATGGAATCAGTAAAATCAAACAGCAGGAAGGAACTAAATATTCAGCAAGGCTACGGGATGGTAAGCTGAAGCTAACAGTTCAAGTGAGGTCTATCAGGGTCTACCCAGAGTGTGTCTATGAAGCTGTGGCAGCAAGGCCCACAAGGGTGCATTCTGTCTTGGATAATGGGAATCAGTTCCTCAAGCTTCAGAAGAATATCGAGGTGATTCTGCACTGAGAGCCCATGGACACCATTATCTTCTTTACTATTCAATGTGTTTTTGAAAGTATGGTTGGCATAACCCCAGTGAGGCTAAGCTGTACTGTAAGTGAAGCAGTGTAGGAGATGGAGGTGTATAGGACTTCTAAGATGTCTTGATTAGTTGGTTTGCTTTACACCAGCTCTTTCACACTTAGAGAGCAGTGAGCCCTTAATCAAAGAATAGGATCTACCCTTCTGTGTCTCTTTTTTAGGTTTTGAGTTGTTTGTTCTTTTTCCTTGAGTTTAGGGTTTTTCCCCTTTCTCCATTTTTGAACACTAAATGTTCACCATCTTGATGGACTATGTCTGCGGTTACAGATAATGTTCACTGTCCTGAATGTCCATTATCAAAAAAGTTCTCTGTAAAGCTGCGTATTTTTTCCCTGCAAAAGGAAAACTCTTCCAAAACTTAATTCTATTTTACAGAGAAAAAGTGTCAACAGCTGTTGGAGAGGATACAGCCATGATCTAACAAAGAGGACAGGACCTCTGTAATCAAAAACATTTCCTCAAGCTGGAACTTACTAACTTTAGGGATAAAGGGTGACAGCGCTAATGCTCGTTTAACATGATTTTTATTGAGTGAATGAGATTGTCAAGAACCACACATGGTGTATTGATGTATGTTGTCTAAACATACGTTGTAGTAATTTGCTTCATGTAGTCGTAGAATTTACCAGATGACGCAGACATTCTGGAGTAACCCTGTCAAAAATTTTCTTCCACTTTCCAAGTTTATCCTAAAACTATCAGATCTATAGTCTGAACACCTGAAAGCAGTATACATTTAATACTGTGTTCATCTAGCAGCTTCTGTGTGTTCTTAAAGCACAACCTGAGAAACTGTTTCTTCCCACCTCACCCCCCAGAAATCCATGTTTCCACAATTCCTGTGCCTTCTGCTTCTGTGGACTCTAGGGATTTGTTGTTAAATGATTTTTAACATTCAAATTGTAGAAGTCTGGGCACATTACAGTGTGTGAATTTCCCAAATGATCGTCTACTACCCTTTTTTCCTCCAGGGGAAGAGGAGAGAGTTAAATTCAAGTTTTGTTGCAGCTGGACTGTAATCAAGCTGATGGGAATGTAGTGATAAGAGGCAAAGAATTTGAATTTATTACATATTTTTCCTTTCCTGCTGCTGAGTACTGCAGTAATTTTACTGAGCTCATGTGTCCTTCCTGGTCAAACTAAATAAATGCATTTGAAAATCTCTGATATAAAGTTTCTAATAAACTGTGACTGGGTAATGAAGTATCTCCCAACAGCCTGTGTGCATGTTCAGTGCAAATAGAAGTGCCCAGGGCGTCTGGATGGAGTTAGAAAAAGGTGTAGGAGACTCATGGTCTGGGAGAGCTGTTCCTGCATTTTCAAAAGCTGGCAGCAACCTCTCCATGCCTGTACCTGTGGTTCACCCTACCTTGACCCAGAGGGCTTGCTGATGGAGGTGAAGGGTAATTTGTCCTGGTTTTTCTCACACCCCTGAGGTTTCTGCATAGCACCAGATACTGTACTGACCAGGCTTGTTATGGTGGTACCTGAATAACTGCCAGGTGGCCATTGCCCAAAGCTGTGGGGTATTGTGTGCAAACCACATTTAAGCATGCCTAAATACTAAGGCTCTACGTGTTTTCATTTAGGAGACTAGCAAAAAACCTCATCCGAGTGCTGTAAAATTGGAAGAGAGCTTCAAACCGTTGCAGGACAAGAAGAAGTATCGGCACAGACCTGAACCTCTCTTCATACCTCCTCCTTCCTTCAACCTCAGCATGTCCCACTCCGGTGCCACTCTGTACCAGAGTCAGCTTCGCTCTCCCCGTGTCTTGGGAGATCATCTGCTAGACCGGACACATGAGCTTCCCCCCTACACTCCACCACCAATGCTTAGCCCAGTTCGGCAAGGGTCTGGTCTCTTCAGCAGTGTTATCACTTCATCTCATAGCACCTCACATACTCAGCTGCCGCTTACTCCTCTGACACCAACTCCACGGGTGCTCCTGTGTCGCTCTAGTAAGTATTACGTTTACAGAGTAGCAGTACAAAGGAAATACCACTGTCCTCCCATCTGGTGTTCTCACATTGACGATTTTCATGCGTGCTCACATGCATGGCTGGCTCTGATACCTGACAGAAAAAGTCCATCTTTGATTTTCATACGTGCTCACATGCATGGCTCGTTCTGATACCTGACAGAAAAAGTCCATCTTTATTGGCAGTTTTGTCTTGGATTTTGCAGAGGGGGTGTTAAGGCATAGAGGGAGTAGAGGAGCCTAATAAGTGAGTAAGGCTATGATCTTTCCATGTAGTCAACCTCAAGAAAGGACCACTATGCCTCTTATTGCATCTGGGCATTCTGAAGCAGAGGGAAAAGACCTGGTCTGAGACATGGGGTTCATTTAGGTATTTGTTGTTCTGTGTTTCACAAGAAAAGGTGTCTAATCGTCCATGGTCAGGGCAGTAGGAACTTCTGCAAGTTCAGATATTTCTGTTACCTATAACAATTTAGACTGTTTCTGTCTAAATATCGATAAAAGGGTCATTTTTGCATCATAGACTGGAGTAATGTTAATTTTAATAGGGAGGTTACAGTGCAGCCTGGGAGGTGGTGCATCAACAGCAATAAAGTGATACTCAAACTCCAATCTCTGTTTCAGATAGTATTGACGGAAGTGTCATTCCTGTGACACCTGGGCCTGGAGAACAGACTGTTGAACCGTAAGAAACCCAGTATTTTTTTGTCACTGCTTTTATAGGCTAGCTCCAACCTAGAGCATGTGGCCTGGAGTGTTTTAAACTGGGCAGATAGTATTCAACTGCCTGAAACCCTGTTGGGCTGGACACATTTAAGGTTGCTCTGGATGGTGGACTGGACACATTTTTAAGGTTGCTCTGGATGGTGGCTGAGGACATTGGGAAAAAAGTGGCTGTGGGAGGTTTAGATGTCACACTCAAAATTGCTAGGAGAGGTTTGGTGGAAGTCACTGAAGGTGAAGCAACAGTTAGTGGTGGCTGGGAAAAGGACTGTGAGGAAAACATGCTGATCCAGTACTCTTGCTTTTATTTATATAAACACCTCTTTGGAGATGTGTTACCTGGTAGGTTCCCCAGGCCAGACTGCAAACAGGAGTTTGCAGTAATGGCTCTTTCTGCTCTCTGCTGAAGAGTACCATTCTCTGTGGAACAGAAAGTTGCTGTTTCTGACATCTAGCCTCTGCTAGTCGTGCATATAATCTAGCTTGTGTTGTCCCTAAGGTATGATGTCTCAGTATGGTTTAAATTGCATATTGAAAATTTTGTTTTCCCCCAAGAGATGAGTTCTCTCTAGTATTCAAAATACTTATCCTACTGGGAGTAAAGCATTGCGTAAAGCAATCTGACACAATTTCCTGCCACTTCAGTGTAATACAAGTTTTGGTGGAAACAAAGTGAACCGTAGTGTGACTTGTATTTTTTCTGCATGTTGTGCAGTTGAATACTTACTTATTTATTCATCTTTATAGACGAATCAATATTGGGTCCAGGTTCCAGGCGGATATTCCTGAGTTGCAGGACAGATTGCTAATGGAGAAAGATGTGCACAAGGCTACTTTGGTGTGGAAACCGTGGCCTGAACTGGAGAACAAAATCTTCCAACAAAGAGGTACAGTGACTTGCCATTTTAGAAGTTCCTACATCAGCCTGTGCCTGTTGAAGAAATTCACATTAATTTCTCATGTATGTACTGTACAAAGCATTCAAGAGAATATTAATTGCTGAGAATGCAGAGCAGGAGGCCAGAACTGCATGTTACAAGTTCAGAGTAACAGCATTATATAGTGGCATTTAAAGTGATGTCTGGCTGAACTGCTTTCTGGCAACCACAGGGGAAAGATCATTGCTGGGAAGTTGTGTACTGAACTGCCTGGTAAGGGCAGAGGTCACAGATGAGAGCCAGCTGATAGCTCCTGGGCCTGTCCTGTGACCACAGTAGAGAGGAAATATGACAGGCTTGGTGGATTCTGCTAGTCCTGAGCAGAGGTTTTTCCTGCTTCCAGCATGGTTCATTCTGTTTTTCAACCCTGTCTGGAGCCTTCTTGGCACAGCAATATCACTGGCATGTGCAAGTCACGGCCTTACACACAGATCTCTGGCTCTGTAGTAGCCTGGCCCATCCCAAGGATGTGTTCTGCAAATCCCATCACATCCTTTCCTCAGTGAGTGATCCTAAAACAAGGAGATGAGATGCTGGGGAGAGAGAGTATAAAAGAATCTGCTTCCCTGAACTACATGGTCCTTGAGTGACATTACGGAATCCTTGGCTCTAGATGTTTGACTGACAGGCTACTGTATTAGCAGTAAAATGTTGACTTGTTTCTGACAGTGGAAGACCTTTTAAATATGAGCTGTTCCAGTGTGTTACCTGGTGGAGGAACTAACTCAGAATACGCTTTGCACTCTCTCTTTGAAGCCAAAGGAGATATTATGGTAAGATAAGGAGCTGAAAGAGGAGATATGATCCTCTTCTGTAGATAAATTAGCATGCTTTATTAAATGGATTTAGATATGGTTATATAAAAAAGATTTCTGATTGATTTGCAATGATGCTTTAAACATCCTGTAACATTTTTGGGGAATGACTTTTCCCTTTATTCTCTAATAAATTTAAATTTCAAAGCAGTGCCTCTCTGAAGGCTTACTGTATATTTCATATAGATAAGATTACTTAGTTTATAGCCTTGGGGCTTTGAATGTCTCCCAGTGCTTGCTCCAGCCCTGATATTTCACAGGCTTTATATTTGGTCACAGAGAGCTTAGTCCTTGTCTAGCTCTTATAAAAAGAGCTTTTTTTTTTCTGTAGCAGCAATCACATCTACTTATTTGTTCAGAACTGTGAGGTAATTGCACACAGTTCTTATATAAATAATGCATTTCAAATATTTGCATTAGTTTAGTGATGGGAATGTTATTAACTAGGGCAAAACATCCATTTTGTCCAGTGTTAGGGAAATACAAGGCCCTTGCACCAGTTCCTGGAAAGCCAGTTTAAAACAAAATGCAGCAGAACACAGGGCTGGAATGAGCCTCACAGGATTGTTTAATACAGTGGGTATAGCTTGTGTCCCAGTTTCCTTAGGCTCTGTTAGCTGTATCTGAGAGGTCTGAGACAAGTGACTGAACTTACTGTCAGGATGTGGAATTTGCTTTACAAGGAATCTGCACTGTCAGGGGAGAAATTTTTAGGGAGCCACAAATCATCTGTTTCCCTGATCTGAAGGAGGATTAGCTATACTTGCTGTCATTCCTGACAGATGTTGACCTAAACAGATATTCTAAAAGACTTCACGCTATAAATATTAATGCTATCAAACCAAGCATTAAATATTAGTATTAATTAACACTCTCACGTCAAACACTATAAACATATTTGTATGTGGCAAGCAGAAAGGAGGGAAGAGCTGGAAGTCGCTAAATAATAGCCACATTTGTGCTAATTAAGGCAGGACAGGTGTGCATTAGGTGCTCTTCTGTGAGGTACAGTGTTAATGGGCCTTGGAGTAATTTGATGTGATTTTGTACGACAGAAAAGGGAGAAAATTAATTCATATCCTTGTACCAAATAGTCTTCTAAATGCAGTTTTATGCAGCAGCTGATTACATTTGCTAATTCTGTTTTGCCCTGCTTTTTCCTTTAGGTTGCTCTTGAAAAGCTGCTGTTGAGAAAGCCAGTGAGATTGAAGTGTCATCCTTTGGCAAATTACCACTACGCTGGTAGGTTTCCTTGCAGGCTCTCTATCTGCTGGTATAGAGTCCCAGCCTGGCATCCCAGGCTGGAGCATGGGATCACACTGCACTCTCTGCTGTCTGCTGCAGGGATGGCAGCATCTGATAGAGAGGTGATGTGGACAGGGCCGAGTGGTGTCCCAGAGCCTCCTGTTATAAGTTTAGCAGTTTTTTACATGACTGACATTGTACAGGAACTTTGCATCCATGTTGCTGTGTAGGATTATATGGATTTAAAACTGCCTCAAGTAATTCTTTTTCTCTTTTATACTGACATTTAATAATTTGATCTCCTTTTAAAACTGCTGTTATTCATAGTTTATAATTGACTATCAGTAAGATGTTGATTTTTCTGGTGCATAAATATCTGCCATCGTGCTTGCCTTCTCTGAGGTGCTGGTGCACAGTAAATGGATATAATAATCTCGAGCATCCTTGCAAAGAGGCAGTGCTGTAACTCTCACTAGTGGCTTAGTACTGCATACAGCGCCTCTCTTTGTGTGAATCTAGCTGAAAAAGTGTGGGATGGTGACTTCTTTAACAAACTTGGCAAGAACTGCATTGCGGTGATGAAGCAGAAGTGCCCTGTAAAATACATAATGTAGCATGAAGCCACTGGACTTAAGTTACATCACCTGAGCATAGGTGGCAAATGTCTCTTCTCTGCAGCCATCCATGTTACTGCTTAACACTTTGTAGTGGCTAACAACTGCTTAGATACACAGATTAGGGTTTTACATAAGACATTTAAGACTTCATCTCCTGTTTAGGCTCAATAGGAAACAAGCTAAGAGTCTTCTGGTGGTCAGTTAATCACAGTGTCCAACGTCACATATTCATTTCCATTCACAGTCATTGTGCAACATAAGTATAGAGGCAAGCTACTTCCTGGCTGTAGGAACACACTGGAAAGATTCCCAAGTAACAAGGATTCTTTATAAAGCAACTCCTTAACCCCTTGGCCTGAGAACAAGAACAGAAACATGTTTGATGGCAGCTGATAACAATAGTGAATAAATGTGAACATCAGGTTTTGAGTTTTGTCTGAGGGAGAAGATGCCTAGTGCTTTTGATAACATCTGTGTTGCAGTCCAGAGGGTGGACATGGAGGGGGATGGAGAAGGAGGATATCAGCCAGGAACTTCGACCAGGGTCTCTTCTCTGAAGAGATGACAACAAATCACACATGAGATAGTTCAGGGCATGTGAGCAGGAAGATGAGGAGATATTTCAGCAGTTTCATCCGCAGTGAACAATCTAATTAGCAGCTAAGAAATTTGTGCCTGTGTGGCAGAGGAGGAACAGTCTTTACTGAAGCAACTTCACAGTAGTTTCAGAAGGTGTTTTATTGGGTTGCAGGGAGGAGCCAGGAAAGACTGTTTCATTTAATCTTTCACATGAGATGATGCTAATCCTTGTTAACTAGCTCTGAGACATGTGGACACCAGTGCATCTCTATTTCTTAAGCAGGAAAGTTTAATTTTGTTTATCACAGCATGAAACAAAATCTCACCTGCATTTAAGTACCATAAAATGACAAGACAAAGCATTACTTTCTAATGCTCTTGCATGCAACATGTGATTGCAGCTTACATTGACAGCATCATTCTAACACCATGCAGCAGGTTTATTTCTGGTTGATAATCAGCCACTCGAGGCATATGAGAATTTCTCACTGTCTAGTGCAGCAGTAGCTTGAATCTAACTTCAAGTGGCATTTGTTTGGGCTAACTCTGGATTTTCTGCTCCATACTCAGAAATCACAGGTCTCAGACCTGCCACATTTGAAAGTGGAGTACATTGAAGGAGAGCATGACACCAACTCATGAGAATTAACTGATACAACAAACAGTAAATATCCAAACTCATCCTTAGCATTGCCCTTGAATGAGGGTACAAGTGAACAGCTCACCTTTGAAACCTGTTGGCTTGTGAGGGAAGCAAGCTGTAAAACTTGAGGATTTTCTCTTGTGTGCCAAGAGACCTGGGCATGCTGACCCAGGGCTGCTTGGAAGAACACCCTAATCTCTCTCTCTGAACACTTTGCCATCTGTCAGGGTGGTGTTTAAGGGAAGAGAGAGGGAAAACATATCTAATACAAGAGGGACACTTCTGCAAACACGTGAGTTGTTTTCATTGGGGCAGTGGAATTTCTCAGGTCTGAAGTTCTGCAGTGAGAACTGCCAGAGAGATGATCTCTGAAATAAGGTGCTTCAAGCAGTGTGGAAGCTTCTTGTACACGCGGTGATAGAGTGTGGATCATGCTGTATGTAGTGAATTTGAGCCACCTCTTAGGAGGCTCCCTAGGTGTAGGTGTAGCCCCCTTGAAACCCACAAGTTGGGCCCAAAGTACACAAAGATACTTATTGTCAGTTAATCAGTGCGAAAACGATATGGCAGGTAAAACTAAATGTAGAAAAAGTAAAAATCAGCTTTAAAATTTTATCTGTATTCCAAAGCCCAAAATTCTTTTTTGCTGCATTGCAGATCTCTCTCTATACACGTTCTCTATATCTCCCTCAAGCTAACAAGAGCAAAAGTGGTTTCCCAGCAACCAGAGTTAAAAACAGCTTTTCTTCTGTTTCTTTTCCTACACAGGATTTATTCTATTAATTAGGTTGCTTCCAATTAACCCACATAATCTTATAAGGGTCTCTGCTAATACCACAGCTATTGGGGAAAGTCTGTAAGGCCCGAATCCTCCCTAGGTGTACAATAAAATTAGTTCTTGGAAGTGATTCTATGTTATTATTTTTATTGTGTTGGAATATTTTAGAAGGGTGGGGTAGAGGCAGGAGAGCAGCATGACTAGAGAAAATTAAAATCTCTCCTTTGGTGTTGTCATGCTTTTTCAAGTTATGTTTTGGCATAGTGGAGCAGCCCCCTGGACTGAGTCAGTGCATGCCCTGCCCAAATGGAGAGTAAATGCTAATGACTGTCAAGTTGTGTAAGAAGGGAATGACGCTGGTTCAGGGTGGAAAAGATGGAAAGGCAGTATGTCAGCAGAAAGATCTCTGGGTGATAACAGAATAAGTAAAACTCATGGCTTGAAGCCAGTGCCTTTCTCCGATGCTTAAGAGAGCTTTAAGTGTAAATCTCTGTGGAAATAACTAATGTATGCTTATGTCCCGTGCTGGAAAAGCCTACAGAAAACAGGTTGCAAAAAAGTTAATTTTGTAGTTTTCAGCCTATCAAGGAGTGGTGAGATACCTGCTCTGAGCTTGTAAGCCTGGGAGCTGATGCTGAAAAGCAAAACATTTGCAGTGAATAAAATCTGTATTTGTTTTTTTAATAGGCATAAGTAACCTGTAGAGTTCAATACCATGTGTGGTGCCAATTCCAGATTAATTGAAATCAGTGCAGAGGCAAGCATTTCTATGGAGAATGGCAACATTGACAGGAATATTAGGGATTTCTTTTCATAAAAATTTAAGATGTTTCAGAAACTCTGATAATCTTCTCATAGTGTAAGTCATTTCAAAGGCATCTACTTTATGGCTTCTTGCATATCCTCCCTTTAATGTATGTAATGCTGCCCACTCTTAACAAACAGAACACTGCTTTGATGCAGTAGAGCAGTTCTGTGTTCCTTCTGTTTGACTAATACTGAGGAAGCATAAATTCATTTCAATTTAAATGTTGGTTTCACATTTTCATGGGCAGTTAGGCCAGTGGAACAAATGCAGAATAACAATATTTAGAAGTTTTATATACAGCTTCCATTAAATGATGAGAAAACACTTGGTGCATATTGCACATTGCTACAATCTGTATCTACATGGAAGCTCTGTCATGGAGGATTTAAGTGTTTTACCTCAAGCCCTGCAAGTGAAGAGCTGCAAAAGGATCTTCTAAGAGTTATTGTCTGTAGAGCAAAATGATGGATGAACTTCTGTGTAGTCAAATGTAAAGTGGCATATATGAGAATAAAAATACAAGCTTTACATATGGAATTATGAGCTCTGTCGTGATAATTCTCAATTAGAATGAGAGTTTGGGATTATAATGCTGGTTCTAAGAAGGCATCAGCTCTGTATTTTACAGCAGCTAAAAACAAAAGTCAAGTGTTAAGAGGATAGAGAACATGATGATGCCACCTTGCAAGTCTGTGGATTGCTTATATGTGCACTTCTGTGTGCTTTTCTGGTCCTGTCATCTCTATAGGAATGTCTTATTACTGGAAAAGAGTCTAAGAGGAGGGCAACAGTAATGACCAAAGGTGTGGGAGTGACAGAAGGGACATGGAATCCTAAATAGCATGGAGATGCTGATTGAAATTGGGTTCACTTTCTCCTCCAGCTGAAGAATGAAGGGTCATTCAGTGAAGCTAGTGGGAGCCAGGAGATGAAGAAAAGGCAGTGGCTCTTCATGCAGAGAGTTTACTGCTCTGTGAAACTCCTCAGCAGAGGGTACAAGAAGCTTAATCTGTTGAAAGGAAGAGTGGGTCAGCGCTTGCAAGGGTAGTTACTAAATTGCAACAGACTCAGGAAATCCCCTGCACTGGAAGTTGTCAGAGGTTAGGAAGAATTAGGGAGAAGCATAGTATTTGCTTGCCCTGATTTTACTGTTTCCTAGGCAACTGCCTGTGACCACTGCTGGAGACTGAGTACTGGTTAGATGGACTCGAGGTCTGAGTCAGTACAGCCCTACTTGCATTTAGGTAGCAGCAGTCACTAGCTTGTGCTTGAGGCTTCCTGGGTTTCGGTTTCAGATACTACATCAACATGAAGGTGGTGAGTTTTTGTCATTTATAGTGAATTCACTCTTTTTTAAAGGCTCTGACAAATGGACGCATCAAGAAAGGAGACTGTTCAAAGAGGCATTGTCCACCTACAGCAAAGATTTCATATTTGTACAGAAAATGGTAAGGTTATTTCTGTTTTATCAATTGTTGTTTTTTTTTTTTTCTTTTGTTGCATTCTGTTCCTCTTCATTTTTCCTCCAGTGCCAGACCAGCTTATTGCAGGCACAATAACATGAATAGGAGTCATATATTCATTGGGTATATTCATCTATGCATTAGGTACCAGTAGAAACCAGCTATAAATAAATAAAAAAAAGCTGTTCCTCTTGTTATTACATGCAAATGTTTTCATACCTGGAATCCAAATCATAGCATTCTACGTGTGGGACAAGTATGGTTGTCCATTTTCACCCTGGTGTTCTCTGGCAGTTTGTTACAAGGTACCTGAGTCCCTAGCATTGGGCCTGGTGTCAGAAAGAGTTGAAATCTGTTAAGAAAGAAAAAATGTGTTTGGGCTTAATTTTCATGTTCTGCCACGAAGCAGAAAAGACAAGGTGTATACATTTCAGGGCACAATACCCTACTTGTTAGCTCAAATGTTGAAAAACATGGCTTTATACAAATCAAGTCATAATTCCTAGATTTCTCAGTGGTATTGTACACCTGAGCTGCAGAAGTATATTCTGAGTCATTTTCTGGCTAGAGTCTAGAGAATTCCCAGAGAAATCTACTGAAGCTGAAAAAGTCAACACAAATTTGACTGAAAAAAAAAACTTAAAAAAACCTATCCTACAAAAGCATTTCTGCTGTAGCCAAACTGTTTTGTTGGGTTTTTCTCCATTTGAATGTCAGAGTAATAAAGCCTGCCTCTTGGAACATACTAAAATTGTGTTGAATGAAAGCAAAAAGTTGAGACTGGACTATTTCTCTAATTACTTAACTACAGGTTAAATCTAAGACAGTTGCACAATGTGTGGAATACTACTATACCTGGAAGAAAATCTTGCGTTTGGGACGGAAACACAGAACACGTTTAGAGAAAAAAAGAGATGAATGCCTGGTAAGTGTAAAAGAATATGAGAAAGTTTAACGCTTGATGATTTTTGTTTTTCCTGTTTTGAGGAGGAGGTTGAACTAGATGATATCTTCCAACCAAAATTATTCCATAGCTCTAAATTATGTTCTGTATGAACGTTCTGTGACCTCAGCTACTCTAAGATTTGTGTTCCCAGACTGTAATGGGATAAAAGTGTTTTGTCTATTGTGTTATCTAACTCTAGTCCAGCAATTTGCTACTGATGAAGCAGGTAAACCTCTGTAAATTATGGCTATGTCCATGTATGCTCCTAAAGGCTGCTCTAACATTCTAGCACAAATACTACTTTAGATGTGTTGGTTTGTGGGTTGTTGTTTTTTAAAGCAGTTTGACTGAGAGTACAGGGTACATTGCCTTTCTAATGGCTGAGGGAGAGGACTGCACCTTGGCATCTGTAGATCTTTGAAGCCGCAGCTCCGTAATACATATGGAGGGTGTTTTCACCACTTCAGTGGAGTTTCATGTGCTACAGCGTGTCCATTGAGGAGTGGTAGTTCCCGCAAGACCAGAAATTTGTTCAGGATGGGAAGAAATGCTGAGAATGGGAAGCAGAGTTGACTAAACAGCATGCTGTTCCAGAACTGAATATGCCCTACTACCCAGTGCTGTCTTCGACTATATTTCTAGCATTTCTTAAATGCACTGTCTATTTTAGACAAGTGGAGAAGAGGAAGTGTTAGAGGAAGATGAGGAGATTGAAGAAGACAGAAAGGAAGAAAGGGAAATGCAGAAGTCTCCTGACCCACCAGCTATCCCTCTTGTTGGACCTATAGATCTCCCTGCCCTTCAGGGTCTTCCGCTTTCTTCGTCCTCCTTCATCTGTGAAATGCCAAACTGTGGCGCTGTATGTGTGTTTGGTATATTTAAGGGGGCAAGGAGGTGGGGTGGGTGTATACCAGTGAATTGTGATTTTTGAAATCATGGATTTAGACTATTCCTGGCAAGTGATACCTCCTCAATATCTTCGGACAGATATTTTTACCTGCTTTTAATTCCCACCTCTCAAAATACAAGCAGTTTGATCTGTACATAAAATTGAATCCTGAGATGGCGTGTCAACTAGGAATACTAAATGGTAACAGCTCTGATTCCCGTTTTGTAATTTGTAATAATAGGCTAGAACACTGCTTTGTTTTATTATGACTAAGTTTCTCTAACTCTAGTGGGATATTGCTGAGAGCAAGCACCGTTTGGCCGAGTAGATTGTGCATATTAGACTTGTACAGTTGTTCTGCTGTAATAAGCATTGAGCATCCTACTTTCTGTAGTTCCTGTTCCAGTGCACTATTTCTTGGGGTTTATTTTTTTGTTATTGTCTTTTTTTTTTTCCTTCCCTCCACCCTCCCTCCCCATCAGGTGTTCAGTTCCCGACAAGCGCTAAACGGCCATGCTCGCGTTCACGGAGGTACGAATCAGGTGCCGAAAACACGATGCACCATTCCAGGCACCAAGCAGAAATCTGGTACACAGAGTGGATACTGCTCCATCAAGAGTTCACCTGCCCACAGCACAACGAGTGGTGAGACTGACCCAACAACAATTTTTCCTTGCAAGGAGTGTGGCAGGTAAGTGAATATATATCTGACTGTCTGCAGTATTGCATTGCGTTTGCCTGTTTATATTCCAGATGAAAAGTGTTGTGATAAACCCTTTATTTTGCTCTGATCATCTCAAAAGAAGTTTCCCCCTAGATGACATGCCCTCTTACAAAAACTGTCAGAGATGGGTTTGCTTGACATTTTGGATGTGATGCACCTGCAGTGTTTACTCTTTATTTTCTTGAATCCATTTACTTGCTATAATTTCTACATCTGACAGTCCAGCTTCCTGCTTTATCACAGGCTTGGATATGACAGCAGGCAACTTTCCTTGTGTTTCTTGAGTTTGCCCATCCTAACATGGTATTTCTTCGCTTTTTCCCTGTTGTGCAAGATTGTTGTGAAACTAATACAGGGAGATTGAGGATGTGCATAGATACTGAAGCAACTGTGGGAGCTACAAACTACCACTGGCTGAGTCAGAGTAGGCCAGTTTTGATACCATCAGAATGTATAAATCTGGTAGCTTGTCCCAGAAATTTGCACCATGGCATTGCATTTTTATCTGATTTTTTTCTTTCCTTTAAAATTTAGGGTCTTTTTCAAAATCAAAAGTCGCAATGCTCACATGAAGACTCACAGACAACAAGAAGAACAGCAAAGGCAGAAGGCTCAGAAAGCTGCTGTGGCAGCAGAAATGGCAGCCACTATTGCAAGAACTACTGGGACAGCTGGGCATAATTTGATCCCCATGGATCACATGAGTTTGGTTAAACATGTTGAAAATGTTGGTGGCATTGATGACGATGTTGTTCAGGAGCTGGGTGATGTCATGGAAGAGAATGAAGTCATGGATGCTGACCTCTTATTGGATGATGAAGATGCAGATCTACTGCAGGATGATGCTGAGTTGTAAATAAATTTGTTTGATAAAGACAGCTACTGAGCACACCCTGATCGGATCAATCAGGAAACATGGACTGCTCGTTTATTCCCCACTGATTGTAAACTACCTGTTGGAAAATGATAATTCTTTTATCCAGGTCTAGGAAAATGAAATTGCTTTTTTTCCCTTTTTTTAATTAATTTGTGTTTTGGGGGAAGGAATAAATAATTGGTACAAATATTCTTATAAGGTGTTTTTATCTGAGCTCTTTTTGCTGATAACTTCCAAGGCCACTAATTACAGAAGTTTGTGGTTCTGCTATCAGTTCCCTCCAGATGGTCCCAGTAGAATCTTTAGCCTTTAACTCTTCCAAGTTTCGTTTTACCCCAATTACAAGAATAATCTTCACACACTTCTTATGGAACATTTTTTTTGCCTATACTGGATCATTTCCAGCATCTTCTAGAGACTAAATGTCATCTCTCTTAAAGAGATGATTACATTCTTTGTCTTTGTGCTGTCATTTTAAGGGAGATGGAGGAAAAAAAATCTGATTTAACTGTGAAATAGTTATAGTGACTGTATCATCTGTAGTATCACAGTACATTTTCAGTTCTGTCTTGCCTTAATTCATACATGTTAGGCAGTTTGTAAAAGCATTGGTTACACAGTACATTTTAGACCTTCCATTTTAGCAAGGTTTTGATCTCTTGATTTTAAAATGACCTAATTTAAGGACTGAAGAAAGAAAATGATTGTACTGTGGTTCACATAATCTGATGGGAACACTGAATCAGGAACACTGCCTTGGTAATCAGATTGCACTGGAAATACTGTGCTGTGACAATAAATCACACTGTGGAATAGCCATCTCGGTGATTTTAGGGGAGTGTGTGCTTTGAGCAATGCAGGAGTTTGCTCACTCACCATGCAAACACAGGGAGAGCATTCTAGCCTGTGGACAGAGACTGATGGAGTGTGTACCTTCAGCATGTTAGTCATTGCTTCTAGGTATAATGTTATCCTTGTGCCATTTTCAGTCCTCCTTATTACATCAAATTCAAGTGTTGTTTCTTTAGTGAAACATACTGCGAAGGTGAGTTGATGTTACTGTTTAATTACCGTTTCTCCTCCCTTAGGTTCAGATCCACATGCTGGCGCCATTTATATAAATTTAAATTCAGTTCTCTGAGTAAACAGGATATCAGAAGAATTGTACCTTGCAGAATTAAAGAATTAAGGAAGGATTGGAGTTAGCTCGAGTAGGCCTTTAATTACAGAATATGAATGCTGATTGTAGAACTTTCACAGGTAGCAGCACTGATTTTCTCGTGATTTTTTGCACAGCAGAGAGGAGTATTGCTAACTTTATAAAGTATTTTGTAAGACTGATTCAGATCTTCCAGATTTCAGGGTGGTTTGGGGTTTTTTTTAATGGGTTGGGGTTTGGTTTATTGGGTTTTTTTTCTGCCACATTCCTAAGCAGAATCTGAAAGATGGTGGGGTTTATTTTCTACTGTCCTTCTTCCTTATTTAACTATGCAAACTGAGGGTAAATCACGGGATTTTATCAGATTACTGGACCACACCAATTCAAAACCAGTGGGACCCATTGACAGAGATGAGTGCCTTCTCTGTCAAAGCCAAATATGTGAAGCCAAATGACCTCAAGTTTCTACTTAAGGTCAAATGTTCTGATACTAAAGAACAACCTTTCAGGAGAATGGAAATCACTTTTCAGTTTCTGGTTAGTGAAGTTCCTGTGTACATGGTTGGTTTTAGTGTTTTGGGGGTTGTTCCAGAGGGGTTTTGTTCAGCTAGTTTTGACCAGTGGGTGGAATTTCACTCGCTCTGCTACATAAGGGATGATGTTCTCAGTTATTGCACCCTTGAGTTTCAGGAGATCAGGCAGCAGCCACCTTTCTTTTCTCAAACTGCCAGCCAGCACACTCCCCAGCAGTTCCTGTCCGTGCTGGGATGCATCATTTTCACAGGGGCCATATGCAGCCCAGGGTCAGCAGACTGGGTGCTCAGCTGCGCCATCAGCTACATCCACTGAGAAGAAATTTCACAGATTGTGCAAATCTTTGTGGTTTGCAAAGTGGAGACTTTTGTTAGCAGGAAAATGTATTGCCTTCTAAGAGCCTGTGTTAGAAACAGGCCAGCAGAGTCTATTCTTCCTCTCCCTAACTTGCATCATTTCAGACTTTTAAAAATCTTTCTGAGAAAGGCTAATGCACTGGAAAATGGGCATAGTTCAGGTTCCCTTGTTAGTGGTGGGGAAAAACCTGAGTGTTTAAGCAAAATTGTAATTGAAGTCTGTCAGAATTCTGCTTGAAGAATGCAGTACATTAAGTTAAGTAGAAACTTAACGGGCTTGTTTCTGAAGAGCAGCTCTGTGTTAAACAATCTACAGTGGAACTTTTCTAGTAACAATTGGGACAGGATGTGTGCTAAACTTAGTATCTATAAATACATATATATATATACACATGGTTCTGTAACATTAATCGGGTGCTGTTTTATTGTGCAGCCAAGAAGATAATAGAACAATGATAACCAAAGAAGTTATTCATAAAGGAAACAAAAAGAAATGCACATTTCCTAAGCAGTACATGGTTTGGGCCTCAGACACTGTCTTCATCATTACTGAGTGTTGCATTGGCTGATGTTGAACAGATGCTGTTCTGCCTATTTGTATATAAGTTGGACATAGTTTTATTTCGGAAAACGTGTTTTCTTGACGCTGGTTGATGATGGAAAAACTGTTCGCTATCGGACCTAGTCCTCTTTGATAAAAACCTGTACATACAGAAAACATATTTTGTGGAGAGAGAGAGTAAAGAACAAAAACTTATTTTCAATATTTAACTGTTATTTTATTAGAAGACGGTTGTGTAAATATTTTAGGCGCTTCAGTGTAAAAAAAAAAAAAAAAGCGGGACTGTAATTTCAGGTGGCAGAGGAAGTACCAAAATAATAATAATGATAACAATAATAAAATATACATTTGATATAGCTTGTGATCGATGCTGGTTTCAGGGCTCCCACTGTTAGCGTTTTGACTACTTGATTTCAGGTTATTATTTCTGCTTGCGCATATTAGGGTGGCTTGGTACCACTACTACTATCTAGGTGTGAATTAATCCGTGTTTATTTCCCTAACCCCTTTTAAATATTTGGAACTTGTGTTAACCTGGGTCTGAGGGGACGGGGACGGGATGAGGGCGGGGAGAGGCGCTGGAAGCCTCACCCGCCATCCCTCCCTCCCTCCTGAGGACGGTGAGGGGGATGAGGGCGGGGAGAGGAGCTGGA